TTTTTTGCCAGCAAAGACCAAAAATTTTATGAGCGTGGAATTATGCTACTACCAGAAAGATGGCAAAAGGTGTTGGACCAGAACGGTCAATATATAATTTAATAAAGTATTTGTTTATTATACGAAAACTGTCTTTCATTTCCACAAAAAAAAAACGAAATGACTTTCCGAACAACCCGATATTTTGCATAGTTCAAGTTTAAAAATGCTGTTCAATTTCAGAGGGCACCTTTTCCGTTCTATTTCGCCTGACCTGGGACACAGACAAGGCGATAGGGGCTAGTCTTAGCACACTTTACAAAGATGGCGATAAACAATTACTAGCTCAAATAAGTTCCGAATTAGTTACACCGTTTGACAAGTGGAAAAGAACATCATTCGAAATGGGGTAAGTTCGAGTTTTTTTGGAAGTCAGTCGAAAGGTCTTAATTACTATGACGATTGTTTATGTATTAATCAGATTTAATCATGGACAAAATAGTACGAGGCTTAATGGAAGCGTTCACTGGCAATCAACTCAATATGTATCAATTGATTTGTCGAGTGATTATGTATTAATTGACGCGTCAACTTTGAACTTTAAATTGTTAGGATCTCTTAACAGTACCATAAAAGAAATCCAATCAATGATTGCAAAACTGGATCATAAACATAATAAAACTAAAGTTGACACCTTGATCTTTATAATGGTACGTATTTTTATATCAGTTATTTCAGTGATGTGTTACTTATCGACAACAGTTTTTTTAAATTTTTCTTTCTGCTGCCAGTAGAAAAACTAAGTATAGTTGAAACGATCGAAATTGGCGTAGTTCGCAATAAATTATCTGTGAGAATGGACGTATCTCCTTTCTTGTTTCCTCTTGGGACTGTAGTTATTTGTTGCGTTTTAAACACGCCCTTATTAAGTTAGGAAATGCTTTATGAGTAATACAGATAAAGTGAAAAGAGATAACCGAATAACAGTAAACGGTGTAGCGGTTAGAGGTTGCTTAGTAACGCAGACGATCACGGTCGACTTCTATAAACAAACGCTTTGCTTTCCTAAATTCCTTAGAATGTTGAACTTTAATTAAAGTCCGATGCTCAAAATCTGCTTGACTGCATCTCTTTCTGTTACACATCAATTAGTGTAACGTTATTCTTTTTTTTTTTATTAGTATCCGTTGCAATTCCTACCTGACATCTCTTTTCTATGTTTACGATATTCCCTACAACGTCTGTTGTGAGAAAAAGTATTCATTTGAAATACTTGCATTTAAAATGCAAATAAAAAATAAAAAATACCTATTTGGCTTGCATTTAAATACTTTTTTGAAAAAGGCATTTTGTTTTTTGTACAAACAGACATTCAATGAATGCCTTCTAATGTCATGCTCCACGGAAAAAATCATTCAGGCCATTAAGTTCACATAATAAGAACAGAATTTTCGCATTGCTTACACTAAAATTCGAAATTTAATCTCACCTAAGATAAAATAATTCGAAGTGGTCTGTATTCTGTCGAAACTGCCAGACGCGGATGGCGATTTCGATCTTTTTCAATCTCATCAGCGGGTCGCAGGCAGCTCCGACAGAACACAGACCAACTTTTACCTGCTGTCTTAACAGTGCGTTTTAGAAAATACTACAAATGGCGCAGTACACGCCATCTGTAGCACGATGCTACATTTTAGGATTACGTATG